AGCCATACGCTTGTTTGCTACAACTTAATAACAAACAAAGAAGTCGAATAAAAACATATTTTTTATTTTTCGAAGCTGTTAACTTAAGTACAAAATTATGGTGCTATTACACTTTGGTCGTTCGCCCGATTACGAATACCAATGGAATTCGGGTAAACGGCTAAGGCCCGTATTAAAGAAAGACTAGCAAACCAGTGAACCAAATGTTCACCAAAAAAAAAAATGTTTTTAATTAATTGAGAACTTCGGAGATTTTGTGTGGTTTCGTTTGAAATAGAAATCACGTGATTTCTCGAAAACCGGAAGTGCTACGTTACTCACATCCGGTTTGTAGTCTTATCAGACTATTGTCAACTTATAACTTAAACATTCTCTTTATCTATCTCTTACGGTTTGGCCGCTGAAACAGCACCACGGACGGACGGACGGACTTGTCTAATAGATAAGAGACTAGCAAACCAGTGAACCAAATGTTCACCAAAAAAAATGTATTTAATTAATTGAGAACTTCGGAGATTTTGTGTGGTTTCGTTTGAAATAGAAATCACGTGATTTCTCGAAAACCGGAAGTGCTACGTTACTCACATCCGGTTTGTAGTCTTATCAGACTATTCTCAACTTATAACTTAAACATTCTCTTTATCTATCTCTTACGGTTTGGCCGCTGAAACAGCACCACGGACGGACGGACGGACTTGTCTAATAGATAAGAGATTCTCAGTGATTGATCTAGTCTTGAGCATAGTTAGAAAGGGATGTCGCTATTTAAAGCTCATAGCGACATCCCTTTCTAACTGTACTCAAGTAAATAATCAAAATATTCAATTTAAATCACTACTGAATAAAATTTATTAGCACATATAAATTTCGCATTTGTATAACATTTTAACACGTGTTAAGAATATAGAAACTAGAAACATGTGGATAAATATTATAAATATGAAAACAGTGATCAGAGGCGACGAGCGTCCCAACATGTGCGACTAGGAGATCCTATTACTATTTTGTTGGAAGCTTTTTTTCGAGACTTACGAGTAATGTGCGGTTTAGCGGCCGACTTCATGGTGTTACTGTTACAGTGTTGCGCGCGCATCTTAAAATTTCACTCTCATCATTTTTTCATAACTCGCCCGCGGCTAACTTCATTATTTTACTTTTGTGTTACAGTGATGCGCGCGCATCTTAAAATTGGAGGAGCTCGATGGCGCAACTGGTTAGCGCGTCCGGCTGCGATCGTTGAAGTTAAGCAACTTTCGCAGTGGTCGGTCATTGGATGGGTGACCAAAAATTTACTATCTCGAGCTCCTCCGTGCTTCGGAAGGCACGTTAAGCCGTTGGTCCCGGTTGCATCTGCAGTCGTTAGCACCCACCAATCCGCACTGGGCCCGCGTGGTAGGTCATGGCCTAATCTCCCTATTCCATCCATAGGGAAGGCCTGTGCCCCAGCAGTGGGGACATTAATAGGCTGATGATGATGATGATTGCTTCGGGTGCCCGAATTTGAGTAATATTTTTCATGCACTCGAATACGGGCTAACGGGTGATATAAGTTTCAATGGTCTGTAGGTAGCAAAAATATTAAGATAGTTGAGCAATAATTAAAAAAAACACGTACTGATGGTTAATATAGGTATCACCTTTAAAACTGCGTAGGTAATAACTTCTTGCTCAATGTAATAGTTATTCCGATGTTTAGTATTTTGGGGCAGATGTGGGTGTGATGAATACTACCATTTGTACTCTAGTCATGGATGCTTAATATGTATTTCAAATTTCAATATAAATATACAATTTGTATCATATTTGTATCTATCCGTAACTTTAGTTTAACACAAGTCTAGAGTGCTCACTTTGAGACTAGGCTAATTGGTGTGAGTGTTGGAAACATTTATTTATTATTTTCAGCTAGGGAGCATTAAAACTTAAAATGCTCGTTGGGCCGCTGTGTCGGAAAGTGTATATTGTGATAGCAAACATTTCTCTCTCTGTGTAAAGTTCATCACAAGGCGGTACATTCGTGAGTAGCTACGTTACCCACGCACCCCTATCCCTTTATCTATCAACTTGGCAAGGTGCATGCCGGTGGCGTAGCCGTAGCGGAACGCGCCGCCTGCCGTGCCAGTCGCGGTTCGATTCCCGGCTCGCTCCCTCCCGTAATATTGTACCGTACAATATGTTCGTGACACTAACGCACGTGCCGCGAAAAAAAGTCGTTGTAGGGTTCATCGTCGAATGCAAAACGAATTTGAAATCTTGGCAGGATACTTATAAGCTTAAAATAATACTTTAATTTTCATTTAATTTATAAACTGTTGGATGCTGTCTTACGGTAAAATATGTGAGACATGATAATAATAGAACACCTTTTATAACATCTTTTTATGCAATAAATTATTAACTATATTATTAATGTTATGAACAGAACAATTAAAACGATGAGAATTTTTATTGTATAGTAAACTAGCTGTGCCCCGGTTTATTACGGATATTTTCCCGCAGTAAAACGTAGCCTATGTGTTATATATATATACCAAATTTTATTAAAAGCGCTCCAGCCGTTTAGACGTGAAGAAGTAACAAACATACACACTCACAAACTTTCCCCTATATAATATTAGTGTGATAAGTACCCTTAGTACGAGTTTTACAATCGTTCTATAGTTTTCGTGAGTTCGCACTCGTACTAAGGGTACCGATTTTATTGATTTCGTTCTGTTCTGATTTTATTCGTTTCAATACAAATAACAGTGTTTAAATTCTATCATTAAATCATTTGTGTCTTCTTAAGTATATTTGGTTACTTTTCAGCAAAATGGACACAGAAACATAATTCACAATTACGAAAACTATGATAGTTTTCGTGAACTCAACCTCGTATTAAGGGTATAGAGCGAGGCTCCAGTGCACGTGTGTTGTCGTTTCATAGACTGCACTTACAGTAAAGACTTGCTTGAGTTGAGTCTAGATACGAAAAGTAATAGGACTAAAAAAGCGACATTGTAATTCATCTGAATTTTTTATTTTATTTATTGTCTTCGAAAGCAGATGAGCAGACGGGTCACCTAATGTTCAGTGGTCACCGTCGCCCATGGACATAGCAATGCCAGTGACACAGCCATGCTGCCTTTCGTGGAATATTCTATTTAAGTCTCTCTTGAAGAGGGCCATGTTTTAATAGGTACTAACACCGTGGAGCTCTTCCCGTAATTTTATTGTCCGTGGAATAAAAGATCTCTGGATAGCAACAGCTGTGGCGTTTCCAGGTGTTATGGGTTTCTTTATTATGGAAATCATTTTATGAAGAACCGACAGAATCCGGTTTCATTCATAGCCTCATAAACTAAACACACCGAGATTTCTCGATTGGCGTTCATTTGATAATTAAAAATGTTAATTGTAAAAGTGGTCCACCCTGGACCACCCTTAACATTTAGGGGGATGAAAAATAGATGTTGTCCGATTCTCAGACCGACTGAATATGCATATAAAATTGCACGAAAATCGGTCGAGCGGTTTCGGAGTAGATCAAATACGTACACCGTGACACGAGAATTTTATACATTAGATATATAAAACATCCATGACATGGAGTACAAATGCTCGTATTCATTACACAGACACCTGCCCTCACTGCAATTCGAACCCGGGACCTCTCGAGTCGGCTACAGCAATAAACCCGGCGCCGGCGTACAAACCACTCGGCCACGAGGGTCGTCAATTGTAATTAAACTTATTATAAGGTAGCTTTGTTTCGCCGAAAACGGAACCGAAACTTATTCGCATTATAAACACGTAAATGCTTTCAATACTTTCAGTTGAAAACAAAACTCCTTAATATTTCATCAATACCATAAGAAATGCTGTGAAAACATTAGGGTTGTATTAGAATTGAGTGGGGAGGAAAACATGATTTAGTACATTGGAAATAAGGGAGGGTTTTGCGTCAACCATTAATAACTGCTTGGCGGTCAAAGCGCAACAACCTTTACTAGGCAGTGGTGGTATACGCTACCGGTACAAAATACGATAGTACAGAAGTTAATGTACATATAAATGCAGAAATTAAAGTACTCAATTTGCCACTGATTAAATTTAAGTTAAAAGGCTGGTTACTAAATGAATATTGCACTTGTAAAACTAAATAAAATTCAGGCCCTAAAATGTAATTTTAAATTGAAGATAGTTTTAAGTTATAAATTTTACCCTTGCATGCCCGTTGTGGGCACACTGTTGTGACTTTGTTTATTATTGCAATTCCAACTGCAAAATTGTACACAGTTTTTAAGCAATAAAGTTATTATTATTATTGTTACAAAGTGCGTTCGCGCAACGCACACATAGACACCGCTCAGGGACACGATATGTCGAACCAATTCAGACCACTGCGAGTTCTTTTCATCCGCTTGAGACATGGGTTTTTGAACTTTTTTATGCAAAAATGGAGCAGCAAATAATAAGTTAATATCTGAAATCTGCTAATCGCTGAAATCGCGAAAAAAATCTGCTGTTTCATACAAAAGTGCATCAGCTAATCGACCGAAATGTATGAAACAGCTGTTTTTTTTCGCGATTTCAGAGTTGGTCCCATAATAAAAATTGTTCCTGTAGATGGGTAGGATCACCCCCTAAGAGGTTGTTGGTGTTTTAAAATTAACCCTGTATAGAGAATGACAGAGATACACTGTTGTCAAATTTAAGTTTACGTTTAAAGAGTCATGCTTGAATCGACACCAATGTTGTTAATCCTAGCGATATGTACATACATGAGATCACTTTCTGTACTCTCTATTTTGTGCTACCAATGATACATAGCGCCTTCTGATGGCCAAACCAAGGGTTATCGACTCTTGAGCTCGATAATGTTTATTTGGGTCCTTTCGGCTAAACGCGGTCAACAATCTGAGGCATTTGTGCTACATGATGAGGTCATTTCAAGGGGATTTCTCATTAGGATTTCCCTTTGGCTACCACCAAATTTGGGTTATATGTAAATACAGCTAATTTTTTCTATAGATGGCTTCTGATTTTGGTTTGCACGTTCGAAAAATTATCCTTAAAATAAGCTTCCTAATTACTAATAAACAATACAATCAATCATAAAGAAATTTAATTTCAATTGTTGTCAGCTACAAAAAAAGCTTTATTATTGATACTATTCTTATTGTGGCAAACATTTTATAACTATATTTTTATGTTTATCTGGAATCCAGATTTTTAAAGAAAATAAAATTATTGGAAAGTTGTTACAGTTTCATTTAGGTTTTTATATAGTAATTTACATATTTATGATGATTGGAAGGAAGTAGGTAGGGTTCTCTAAACCATTCCAAAAAAGCAAACATTCAGCGGTCACCCTCTGGCGACGAGTTAGTTTTGCTGTCATTATTGAGTCCAAGGCAAACATGAGGCAGTTACAAAAACAACTAGTGGACGACAACTTAGAGTAGGTACGCATTTCAGTGAAGGGCGCCATTTATTCCGTTCAAATACATTTCAATTACTTAATATGGACGGTTTCATGCTAAAAAATGTTCTATGTCAATAACAATTACTTGCATTAAGTGTGGCTAAGACGCATAAAGGAGTACCCGCACGCCGCCAACGTCTGGTGGGGAGATAAGCGTGTCTAATTGTCCGGAGCTATCGCGTATCGCCGATGCGGGACCTTACAGCCAGCCGTGGGGACCGCCATCGGCTTCTTGCGGGCGGAAAAATATCGATCGGGCGACACACACCTGTTCTGTAGTCGGTACAATGGGGCCCGCGCACCTGCCTGGCCACAACCGCTCGCGCCGCCACCACGGGCACACACACGCAAGTCTAACGCCGCTCGCCGGCCGCGGACGGTTCGATCGCTGACCGCCGCGACGTCATACCGGCCCCGCGCCGTCGCCGATCGATCTACGTCCATCTTGGACGACCACGCCGCTGGTCCACCACGCATCTCCCATTCAGGTAGGTCCCTTCCTACTCCGTTTCAAGATAACAATAGAATGGTGTTCCGTTGCCTTGTATAGTTAAAGTGCATTTCTTGATTCGATCTGTAATAGATTATCATGTATTTTTCTAAAGTCCAAGGATTCCTCTCCAACAACGACACGTTTTAAAGAGAAGATAAATACCACGGGAATACCAAATACCACTATGGATAAGTCCTTTAGTGTCACAATGTCCATGGGTATTGCAGGGGGTTTCTAGTGCAATAGTGAGTAATACTAAGATCCACGGGATAACCTGGGGCATTCAAATGGCGGTCACATGCGAAAAGAAGAGACCTTCAGATCCCTAATTAACCACCACTTTGTAATAGCAGCAATCAACATTTATTACTCATAATTGTAAGGCTAGCTTTAAATACACAATAGAAATTGCCAATCCATTCGAGCCGCAATGACTCATCGCTTTCTTTGTCACCTTTTTCAAGGATTACGAGCGATGTAGCAAGTCAGCGGGATGCATATAACATCGGGACTTTCGCCGGCGTCTGGCGAGATGCTGGACACGTCTGCGCTGGACTTTTATGGAGACGCCGGGGAGCAGTGCGGCGTCACGTATTTCGCAGTAGACCACACCGTACCAGAATCGTCGCACACGGTAGAAATCGAATATGTCTACGAGCAACCTGAGATTTACTCTCACAACGATGCCGCCATTCACACAGACTCACAGCCAGTCGAAACCTCAACTACGAAACGTGCATCCGAGGACCACGATAGAATAACGAAAAAGATAAAGACAAAACAGAAACCGGAGACCAATCCAACTGAAGATGAGACAGATTTAACGAACCTAACATGGCTTCAGAATATAACGAACATTATGTCAGTGCCTCAGTTTCCTATACCGCCGATGTCGCCCAGTCCACCAGTTAAAGTGCAGCCGCAAAACACGAGACTCCAAAAGTTCAATCAGACCATCGCAAAGTGCCAGAAGGACTTCACTGAAAACAAGGAGGAGTACCAGACGAACAGCGAGAAGAAACCGCCTTACTCGTACAGCACGCTTATTTGCATGGCGATGAGATATAACAACGATAAGATGACTCTATCAGCGATATATTCGTGGATTCGTGAAAACTTTAAGTACTACAGGAACGCTGATCCCACGTGGCAGGTGAGTGTTATCATAATCAGATTTCGGTAGGGAATAGGGAAGCCCTCGTGAATTAATAAACGTTGAATACGCTTACTGTATCGTATAATAGATAAGATTGCACCTAATTGGATACGGTTGAGTGGGTAATTCTATTTAAAAAGAATATATTGGGGCAACGTAATAATATGACAATTCAGGTTGAATCACACTAAACACTAATATTATAAAGGCGAAAGTGTGTGAGTGTGTATGTTTGTTACTTCTTCACGTCTAAACGGTTAGAGCGATTTTAATAAATTTTGGCATGAAGTTAGCTGACACCCTGGATTAACACATAGGCTACGTCTTACTGCGGGAAAATATCCCTAATAAAACGCGGGCACAGCTAGTTAGGTATATTTGCGACGATCATTAAGTTGAGTTTAAATCTGAATTGATCTATTTCTAAAATAATCATCCTAATAAAATAATGCGGGAGGTTTTTATTGTCGCTTACGCTTTAACGCCTAAGCTGCTTGATTAAAATTGATGAATTGAAATATAAAAGGGAGGATTTTAGTGGCTGTAGAAAGAAAGTTGCGCAATCTTCTGAGAGACGGCGCTGACGCATATAACTTACGACTTACCGACTGCAGCTGTGGACCCAAACTTAAAGTATTGTCGATGGTCACACCTAAATTTCTAACAGATAAACTGTACGGAATATTAATTCCAGCACCGCTGACCATAGGGAGAGTGTTTTATGTGTTCTTCTTAATAACACAGCATTAAAAATTAAAACAATATAATTAAATTTAAGTTTAAATGAAAATATTGTTCAGTACAATTAAACAAATTAATAATTGTGAACACGCGTGGCTTTTTCGATAAAGCCAATATGTACGATAAAGTTCTTAACAAGGATACAGCTAAATTCAGTTTGAATTTCAAACGGGATCGCAATAGTATTACAAACGTAGTCAGTTTGTCAATGTTTGATTAGTCTAGTTAGCTAGACGAAATTTTTAACACGAAAAAATTCAACTTGCCCCACATTCACATAGATAACTATTAGATAACTAAGCAGATCATTAACAGAAAGTAGAGGGCAATTTTATTTAAACTAAAGGAAAAAAAAAGTTTTTTTAAATGGTAATCGTTATTATTGTTTTAAACTTTCAGAATTCAATAAGACATAACCTGTCACTGAACAAAGTGTTCGTGAAAGAAGCTCGGTCGAAACACGAACCTGGCAAAGGAGGATTCTGGAAACTAGACCTGGCTCATTTGGAAGGCACTAAACGTATATCCAACAGACCACAGAAGAAAAACAAAAGTGCTGCACCTGAGGTGAAAGAAGTTTCGATTGAAGACAAAGTGGCTGTTGCTAACATACCTAAACCCATTGAAATAGTTGAAGCTATGGCGGCTAGTATAGATAATACTGTAACACTACACCTGCCTGACTTTAATATAAGCGGTCTGCAATCCATACCCGACTTGGATATAGAGACTAATATAGGAGCCAATGTGATAGTGGAACCAATAGCACCGCCACCTCTGATCCCTGAGGATGACTTGTCGTCGCTACTACTGAACCCGACCGATTGGGACGACCTTCAGTTGGATATGCTGGATAATTATCTGGATTCATGTTTCAAGTAAGATTGTGATTTTAATGTTAGGTACTAATTAAATTTAGGGAAGTGGTAGCCTGGAGGCTGGAGGACATTGGCAAAGTTCATCGTGAATTTGATGAACAGAATTTTTATACGTAGAAATGGTGTCCTGTTAGTTTTTTATTGGGTATGTAAAGTTGGAAGAAAATGCTTGTATTGTAGTAAAGATATTCGTGTGTCTTAGCCTATTTTAAGTCCAGTCTTGTTTATAAAATATTAGTTGTATAGTCTAGTCAAAAAAGGCTTAAGCGAAAGAATAAAAATTTATATCAGTAATTTGAAATTGCTACTTTAGGTAATTTTATTTATTTTTATTCGATGTTATTTTTTTAATCAAATTGTACATTGTTATTTAACCCTATTTTTAGTGTCTAATCTTTGAAAACGCACTCGTATAAAATACATTGTGATAATGAATGTCACTTTGCTCAAATGAATCACTTGGCTCAAAGAAAATAATAATATACTTACATTACTATGAGTTTTTTAAACAAATTCATTACATTTATATATTAACGCAACATAAGAGTATAGTATAAATATTACGGCATTACAATGCATATAAAGTTTTGAAATCAAATGTTACAAGTTCAATAATAAATACATTCGAGTTTATAAGAAATTTGGAATAAATTTTGGAATAATTGAAACTGCTCATTAAAACAAATATGCATAAAAGCATTTGTTTTAAAGCGTAGCGTTGGCGTAAACTATGATGACAAATTTTGTGGCATACAACCATATACGTATAGCATATTATACATAATTAAAAAATAATATAAAAACTGGCCAAGTGCGAATCAAACACGCGCACGCAGGATTTCGTACAACAAACCGTGAAAAGAAGATCATTGTTTGTTTTCATCACACCTTACGAAGAACATTATGGATAGGAGTTTACAGTATTTGTTGTTTAAATAAAGCATATGGAGCACCATATATCAATATTTAACATTACTAACTTGTTTAGATTTTGAGATGACCCCGCAACAAAAATGGAAAATAAAAAATATAAAACAAAAATTTTTATATCCCACTCAATGAGTTGGAGAATGGTGTGTTACTTGCTGGGGTAAAGAGAAAAACAATGTTTTTCGTCTTCTTTTTATGTATGGGATCTCTATGAAAATTAATCTAATTGAATTTTCAACTAATAATTCGCCATTGGGGAAACATTTATATATAATAGCAAATTTTTAGCTTGGATAAGGAATCCTAACAAGGTTGATAAATCTCCGATCATAAAATACATCGACGACCTCCGTGGCCGAGTGGTTTGAACGCCGGGTTTCATGGTGTCGCCGACTCGAGAGGTCCCGGGTTCGAATCCCGGTGGGGGCAGATGTTTGTGTGATGAATACGAACATTTGCACTCCAGTCATGGATGTTAAATATATATTTCTATATAAAATATACTTATATATGTACAGTATATGTATTCTATCCTTTACCCTAGTATCCCATAACACAAGCATTACAGTGCTTACTTTGGGGCTAGGCTAATTGGTGTGAGTGTTGGAAATATTTATTTATTATTATTATTATTATAATATAATATAAGTTACTTCTCAGGGTGTGACAACAGTATCTAAAATATACACCTATTTCTTAATTATAAGTATGTTATCTTTACCGCTCAGTATTATCGTGTACAAAGATGAATTGCATTATTTACTTATTGAATGTACAAAACAGCGGGACAGCTGGGAATAGATGGGATATTGTGTATAGAATATCCAACGGATATACAGAACATCTTTCAAATAATTAATAATGAGACTTAAAGATATTGATAAAGTAGCAACTGAGTTACGTGACAAATCGGTATTACTACTAAAGTGATTTCATTGAAGTTAAAGCAATGCAGTGGTGAATTTCGATTTTAATAACTCCATAATGGAAAGGCGACAAAATCATTTTTATTACAATGTTTATAAGTACATTTGAACTTCATGCCATCTCACCAGCTGTCGCATTGTTTTGTACACCCTGTACCTATACAGGGCAATATTTTATATTTAGTGTAAACAATGTTGTATAAATAAAATTATCAGATATTCCGTCCAGTATTATAATATAGGTAGCAGTTACTGCATTGGGGTGAAAGTTGCTCAGCACATTATTCTATATATTTTAAATATATATATTTAGATATATAAGTTATACATTTTTTGAAAGTGTATGTCAAACTGATGACATAAATATTTATCAATTAATTATTTGACTTGCACAAACTTTGTGAATAATTTTTCTTAGTTAGTGTGTATTTATTCCCGTCCATTATGTGTCTTATTATTAAGTAAAAAGTTGTGAAGTAACTAAATAAGATTTCCTAAAATAAAATGCATTTCATATTATGGTAGTTAAGTTATCTGTATTGAATAATAGCAGAGAGTGCCTTATAATATAAATACATAAATGAGCACATCATGATTAGATTACCTACCTATAAGATTCATATAAGAAAGTATTGATTGATTCGGCTAAAATTTTATTTATGGTAAGAACTTAAAGCAATTGAATTTCATGTACAAATTATTTTAAATGAAACTATATTTCTAAACTCAACACTTTCTTGCTCACTTATAATAATTTAAATAGGGAAGAAATTATAGCATTTGATTAAGCTTTTTACTAGATATATTTTATTACTGTATTTATAAATAAGTCTAGTCAGTCAAATGCATTTTAAATGTAGTATTTATAATATGTAGTAGATTTTGTAGCTTAGACATAAGAGTCTGTTGTACTTGCCTTGAAACACGATAGAGTTAGGTGGTAAACTGTCGAGAATATAAATATGAAGGGACTTTTTGCATTTCAGCTTAAGAAATAGCAATAGATGAATGAACAATGAAATGATGAACACACTCCAACTCCTCTTTTTTACAAATATCAGATAAAAAAACAAACCGGGAAAAAGTGAGAAGATTGTATCCAAAATACTGCCGGCTGCAGTGCACTTATAATTAATTATACATGAATTTGAGATTATATGACCTTGATGTATGGTTAAAATTCTATCGGTTAAAAAGATGCGACAGGAACGATTATATTTAGGGCTCCATGGGGTAGGGAATCGGGTCAGGGTAGCAGGATAGGCAACAGCGCTAAAGACAGCTTTGGTATCGCAAGCGTCTATAAATTATAATGGCCGCTTACCATCAGGCGGGCCATACGCTTGTTTCTTCTCCCAGTTATACATAAATTTAGATATATATATTACAACCGTTGTGAACCACAATTAATATTATATTGTCAATTCGAGACTATTGGGATTATTAAATTTGAGTTGACAGAATTTTTGATGACGAATATGATAGGTATTGCTCCAACTCGCAAAACCTACCTATTAGTTAATCTAAAGTGTAATTTTAGACATTTAAATCCCACAATGGATGATGTTTCTAAAGAGAGAGTTGAACAGTTATTTACGGTCAGTACCTATTTTAAATGCTAAATTATCAGTAAATTACTGCAATAAGTCTATAAGTATTATTGATTGAATATAATGATAAAATCAAGAAATCTCTCTCTAGAAGTATGTACTATTAAATAAATAAATGAGACATAGGTAATTTTAAAGATTTACATGTTCGATAGGGTCGACAATATAATACGTTAATGAAATCCGTCCTTTACCTATACTAAAGTATAGAATGAGTTATGAAACTATATTTATTATAATTTTGAGAATATACAAAGATGACGAGTGAACGCAAAGTGAACTATTAATTACTTTAATACATTGAATGGCAAGAAATTCGCAGAGTGTATTCACTCAATTAACTTATAATCGTTGTCGTAGCTCGTCGTTGTCTCATAGTCGTAGCAATATCAGCTACGAGTAGAAGCTACAAGATATAGTACAGAGGCCCAAGCATGAAATTTTGACAGCTACGTAACTTATCGCATCTTCAAAGTTTCTATGAAAACTAAGCAGCTATCGGACGTAAGAACTAGCTTTTTCAATACAAAATTTGACGATGACTATACGTTACGGAGCTGTCAAAATTTCATACTCGGGCCTCAGATAACCACAAATCAAATTATCCACTCCTGTAAAATTTCCCTTAAGGCTGATTTACACTTCTGTAAGTACAGTAGCTAGTTTAGAAAAAATGACAGCTAAGCAGTATGTAATTAAAACTCTGTCTAAATTATGAAATAACTTATCTCGCCAAGACCGTATTTTAACTCGCTACTGGTGTCAATTCTGGTATGATTCTCTAAAGCTAAACTTAAATTTGACAACAGTGTATCTCTGTCATTCTCTATACAGACTGAAAAGGACAGACTGATGTCAAATTTAGTTTTAAGTTTAGAGAATCCTGCCAGAATCGACACCACTGTTATCAAAGTGTAAATGAACCTTAACAGAATTTGAGATTTTTTGCTTCATAATCTATTGAGACTGTATGTAGCTCGCAATCAAATATGTATCTACAAATAATAATGTCCCTGCGATGGCGCAAGAGTTTGTATTATTGTAATTTAATCATAGAACGGTTGTATTGTAAACGAGGCTCAAAAGTGCAACACATTATTATTCATGTTTAGAAGCGTCCTTATCACGAATAAAGTGTTGAAAAGTCTTTTTCGTTTTCTTATTTTAGCGTCCCATAGTCATTGTGAAGTTGCGTAGCAGGCATATTTTTACACGACTGCACAAAAAAAGAGTATCATTAGAATCGTTTCACAATCCCGGGTGACATAGGATACCTAAACTGTTAAAATTTCAATCATAACAATGGCAAAATGTTAATTATTTATGTAAAAAACAAAGTTTTGTTTTTACAATATTGGTATCATTTGAAAGGTCTAATTAATTAATAAACGGGTTTAACTGTAAAACGTGAGAAATACCAGCAAATACATTGATTACTTGACATAGCACATATTAAATTTATTAAGCACTAAAACGATAAAAATAAATTATGAAATTAAGTAACACGACTGCTGTTAAAAATATTGAACTAAAAAGTATTAAAAAAGTTTTATTTTTCGAAATGGACGGAATGTTAGTATATATTTTGATGCAATCGGGGGACTCTATTAAGGATATCTTCTCATTACCAAACGTTCCCCCGACAGCACTTAAAAATATAGTAACATTCAGTCCAATTTTAAAATAAAAATTATTTTATACTTTTTAGTTCAGTTTTTTTTAATGGAAGTCGTGTTTATTAATTTTATTTTTTTCGTTTAAAGTGCCTTGTAAATTGAATATGTGCTTGAAGTAATCTATGTATTTATTAACATAGACGAGCGATATATTTTTATTGTAATTTAGAAAAACATTAGTCCATTTCTGCTGTTCCACTGTTTTGTAAAGCCTGTATAATAGGTACTGTTTTCCTGCAATCTATTTCAAAATATCATCTGATACTTTTCACCACTACGAAATGTATGTTTTGTAATGCGAAAGTTCTGTAATGAGAAGATAACCTTCCCGAACTTTCCCGAGAGGTCCTCCGATTATGATAGTTTGGCTCGTTTCACAGTTTAACTTTTCCACATTTTAACAAGTATCCTATTGTATAATGCGATTCAAATAAGAATAGGAAAGCCAATAACATCCATCTGTAAAATGTCGCTTGAAAAGTACGGTTTGCAAAAAAATCTCGGAACACTTTTTTAGCACTCAGCTGATTCTAGAATAAAAATCAAACATTTTTAAACAAACAATAACAAATGTTGATAATTAATATTAGTTGCTTTTTTTTCATTTATTGAGCTTTGGATATGAATGGTTGATAACCTAAATCGTCAACCAAATGTCACTTTATGTTGCGTTCAAAAACTCGATTTAAAACTTTCGTTTAACATATAGGATGCATGTTTATATGTGACCTGCATGATTATTTATAACTTCTCCGGCGGTAACGCAGAGTTGAGCGAAATTTCTTCAATTTTGAGCTTCAGCTCGATTCTGATTAATTGTTTTTTTTCACACAGTCTTAATAAAGAAATACTACTAAAAATCGGTTGTGTTCTTTCTCAACCTTAGTAAATTAATCTTATTAAAAATCTGATGTTTTGTCTCACTTAATCTTAGTAAATAAGTTTCATTAAATAGCATAATTTTTTTGCTCACTCTACCTATTTGGTTTGAATTGACAGCTATGACGTCAAAATATGGCGCCCAGTCGCTCCTATTCTTAGTTGAATCGCATTATACAGTGTTGAACTATGATCAAATAAAAAAGTTGAAAAGCAGAGGCGGCTCTAGCTCCTGTGGCGCCAGCCGCCAGTGTGCCACCAGTACCCTGGCGCCCCCTAGTAGGAGCGGGGTCAAAATGGAATACTTACATTTATATTTTCATAAAAAATTCGAGTGCAAGTTACAACAATAAAAAATTACAACTTTGTAGTTCTTAATTTAAAAATAAAATATCTTACAGGACGCTAGTACACACAAATATACACACAAACAAATGTTTTTACAAACAAATACTTTTCGGGCTTTTGCATTAGCTAAATCTTTAACAATGCCACTGACTTCAATTTTGATTTCATGTTCAATACTTATTAACGATTTTGTCAATATTGTCGTTGATCTTAGATAGTGTTTAATTATTTTTAGTTTAGAAAATGACCTTTCGCTGTGTGCTACCGTGACTGAAAGTGTGAGGATTTCTCAGTGCTGTGAACAGATTTGGGAATACTGAAATCAATTTATCCTTAAACAAGTAATTTAAAATATCCAACGGCGTAGTGGAATCATCAATAAACATCGGTAATAATTCGATTTCATTAAAGAGCTCGAACTTTTCCACATCTGAAGAGACAGCTTGGCAAAGTTTATTTTCTAAATTAGATCAATGTGCTTTTTATGTATCCGTGTCCAAATCCTTCCAGTCTGTCAATTTTTGAAGAAATGAAAAAACCTACACTATTTTGATTGAGAAGTTCGAACCATTCGTCGAACTTAGTAATTGCGGTGTCTGATAAATAGAAGTAAAAATTGACTTTAAAATGTGTATTCGCGTCTGTGATAATTTCATCCTCCGCCTCATAATGAAAAACTCTTTTACGAGCGCGAGGGCGTGCAGGTGTGGGAAATTCTGCTATTGCCTCGTCTTCTTCCGCTACAGTTTTCGTGCTGTTAAGGAGCTTTTCAAAAGCGGAGTCATTACGGAATTCAGACAAACTTATTTTTGCATTATCAATAATTTTCACCACTTCTGACATTACAACGTCTGACTTTTGAAGAGTCTTGCTAACTATATTTACCTTGCTTAAAATTTCAAACCAAATAAGCAGAGAGCAGATGAATTTAAGCGACTTCATTTTTCCCAGTAATGAATTTGCAATATTTCTTGACTCCGCATCTTTGCTTCTATCGGAATATATGGTACACAAGGCATATTACCCTTTCCCAGTTCAAAACGTAGAGCTTTTACTGCTTCAACCCTGCTCTCCCATCGAGTATTTGAGATTGGTTTTAAACTTAAAGTTGGCATTCTTTAGCAAGTATTTGCCACCGTGTTGTTGACGCAGAAACAATAAATCTTGGCGCCGGGCGCCCCCTTAGACCCGGCACCCGTGTGCACCGCACACCCTGCACTATAGGTAAAGCCGCCTCTGTTGAAAAGTATCACCATAATATTTAGAAATAAATTGCTGGAAGAGAAAACATATTATACAGAGTGTAACAAACAATAAAATAGCAAAAACGGGTTATTGTGTTTCAGAAATACAAAAGATTACAATATAAATATAACTCTCATCTATGTAGTAATTGGTCGCACGATGATTCTCTCTATTCAGTACTGCATTATCCAGTACTTACCCATCTTGTAAATTTTTCCATTGAAATTGGTTTATTTTATACCTCTTTCTAAGAATAATAATTCAAAGACACTCAACCACTTCAGACCGTCTTATCTCAAATCCAAATTCACTTTTTTAAGTTCCACTCACTCTTGTCCTTTACGCTCATCTCAAAATCTTCACTTCATATCCAACTCTTTCTGTCTCCAAGCTGTTCTGTCTCTGAAATGATCTTCCGAAAATTGTAAGAAGCTCACCTGCTAAGCATTATGCTAAGAAGTCATAATAACAGCATTTCAAACTTTTAGTCAATCTGCCATAAATAAATAAATTTTGAATGTTTATTGTTTATATTTTTGTATTTATTTGTGTTTAGTTTATATGTGTATTATTCTAATCATGTAGGTATGTATATTTACGTTTGAATGTATATTATTTAGATATTGTATTATAATTGTATTTGTATGAATTTGCTTTTTTTTCTCCTTCATTTGTTTATTTACTTTAGCGTCGTAATTTCTCTGCTTAGCCCGATGGTTGACTGGTAGAGAATACCTTATGGCATTAAGTCCGCCATTTGTCAAATGACAATTAAGAGAGAAATAAATAGTAATTAATAACAGAATTTGAAAATATTGTTGATATTTGTTGGCCTACATCATACATCACTTAGGCCCATATTATAGAAAGATTCTCAGTGATTGATCTAGTTTTGGGCATAGTTAGAAAGGGATGTCGCTATATATAACACATAGCGATATCCCTTTCTAACTGTGCTCAAGTAATGATCAATACTTAGTTGTCATTCTGTAATACGGACCTTAGAATTAGAAAACAAATTAAGAATCAAAGACCAAAATGGTTTATTTAACAATGTATTATTTTGTTCATAGTTTTTTTCAACAGAGTTTATCTGCAAATTTTATAAAACAAATCCGCAATTAGTTGATATTTATAACAATACATATTTGTGTTAGTTATTTTAACTGATTTAACATTTTCATCAAAAAATACACTAGCCATCATAGCAACTGCTGCATTTATATTACCACTAGGTAATGTTGGTAATACCGACGCATCAACTACATATAAATTGGCAACACTGAATACTCTAAAATTAGTATCTACTACACTATTTGAACTAGTCAAACCCATGGAACAAGTACCAACAGGATGATAGCTTGATAACGTCAAATGTCTAACATAGCAATCCCAATAAGCATCAGAGAATATAGTATGACTTTCACAATTTGGAAAATGTTGAGGATTGATATAGGCACCCATTTCCTTCATAGCTGGAGTGTTTAAAAACTTCTCAACTAATTTTAAACCATTAATTAAAGTTTTCACATCTTCATTGCAGTTTAAATATTTAGGATCAATCAACGGAGGTGATTTCGGATCTGTATTTACAATATACACTTCACCTCTGCTTTTTGGATGTAGAACTATAGGCAGTATTGTTGCTGCATGTTTATCAAAAACGTTCTCGAAATAGTTTTCCCATACTGTGTCACTTATACCTAAAGCTAATCTTAAATGACTCCCTCTATCTGATGATATACCTACTGGCATTACCATGAATTGTATGTCTGGCACTTTATCACCTTTTGTTGACAAAAAAGTAATAAGTTCACAACCCGCGGTTGTTAAAGGTCCTTTTCCATTAACAAAATATTCATAAACATTTCTAAAGTCTAGCATACTCATGGGGTTTACAGATAAAGTCTTATTTATTAAAATTAAATCAAAACCTGTGGTAACATGGTCTTGCAAATTATATCCTACAGGAAGATTTTTTACAATGGGAATGTTTACAGACTTAAGGACATTGGCAGGCCCAATACCAGACAGCTGCAGAATTTTGGGTGTGTTGAATGTTCCTGCAGACAAAATAACTCCTTTCTTAGCAAAGACGTTGTGTTTTTTATCAACAATTTGTATTGAAACACCTTTTGCAACACCATTCCTTATTACAACTTTTTCAACTAGGGCATTACTTAACACATACTTGGATAAATCTAAGCTGTCTGATATTGTCCACCTTTTACCATTTTTCTGGGACAATTTACTTTTGCTGTAACCAATTTTGAAGTCAGAATTCAACCTACTGTAACCTAACTGTTCAGCAGCTTCTGACATGGCTTCTACTAATTCACTTTCAAAATTGATTTCATTTAAGTGTAACATGTCCCTTTCTACAGTTTCAAAGTGATCAATTAAATAATTTTCATCATACTTTCCATGGAACCAGGCTGCATAATGTGAAATATTGCCCCTGACATGCACCATATTGTTGATTTTTGATGAACCTCCAACAATCTTGCCTTGAGGCAATTTGCATTTCTGAAACAAATGTAGGTTGCTCATTTAAGTTAACAGTGTTTGGAATATTTTATATGGGAAACAAAATACAGTAATCATTTCATTGTCAGGTAATATCATCACTGAAGAAAATATAGATACTTGTTCAATGTTCATGGCATGCAACCACTTCTTTCTTAGTGAATTATATACATGCTTTGCTTACATATTTCAAAGCCCGGTGGAGCAAATGTTTGTGTAATGAATAAGAGCATTTCGTATTTTAGTATCTAAGTCATGGATCTTTATTTAAGTATTTCTGTATAAAATATACTTATGTAAGTATACCTGTATGTATTCCATCCACTTTCCTAGTATCCCATAACACAAGCCTTACAGCTTACTTACTTTGGAGCTGGACTAATTGGTGTGTGTGTTAGAAATATCAAAATATAATAATAAAAGTTAGATTGAGTTATATTCATACCTAATAAGTTTGTTTTACAGTAATAAAATGGTAATTAATAAACATACCTTATTATTCATAGCTAAACATGCATTTTCCTGTGGTACTGTTTCATATTGCCAGTCATAAACAGAATTGTGCAGCATCGGAGTAAGCACTGGTATTTCAAACAGAGAATTACTTTTCCCTCCTGCTTCAATCACTATAAATGTAAAGTTTGTTTCAGCTGCCAATCTGTGTGCTATTACCGAGCCGGCAGTTCCAGAACCAACTGTAAACAATGATGGATCTAAATCATTTTGTATTTCAGGTTTAAGTTATGTTTATCCAGTTTTACTATCACTTCTAAGTATTTACCTACTTAGAAATTAACAATAACAAAAGCAATGAAACTATGTTAAGATAAAAATTTAAGCATTTAATACTTTGTTATGTTTTTTACTTACCAATAATATAATCGTAAACATTCTCAACCTTGTTGAAATATTTGGTTAACAGTATTTGAAAGTAATAACTTAGGTAAATAAATAATACGAACGACTGTACTCCTAAATTAAGAATAAATAATTGCATTAAGAAGTCGGGACGCATATTTTTTCAGTAAGATTTTCAATTTTTAAAGAATAATTTTATCAACCCGGCAATTTTGAGGTTATATTTACATTTTTTTGAGGTCCGTTGACATTGTTTCTTTTAAATTCACGGCCCATGAAGGCAAAGGATTCTCAGTTTTGTTCAGGCAATTAAATCATTATGTCATGCATCTGTTTAGGTAACTTTAGGGAATAGGCTAGTTGACCCTTTTTGGAAAAAGGTTTTAAATGGTTAATAAATGTTCTATTAGACCGAAAAAAAATGTATTGTATTTTTTTTAAACCTAGAAAGCTACAAATCTTTAATTTCAAAATAGACTTTTCATGGACATACAAAAACGCTGTCGGCCATTTTAGTCTATAGATTGTCTATGCTATGACGTGAACTGTGGTAAACAAAAACTCGTAAACACGTAGAAAATTACTTTTAACTGAGTTTATAATAAAAAAAAACATGATTTCTAATAAATACCACGAAAAATAAAGTAATTATCATTACTGTATTGTACGAGAATATAAAAACACATCCTTGAAGACTCCAGGAAAGTTGTGGATTAAAGTGCCGAAAGAAATTAACCTACGCAACTTTATTACACTTGTTCATATGTTATATCAGTTTTATGTTTATTACTACATTGTAATACTAAATGCACTGAACTTACATAGATGCCTTGTCGTTTCTCTGCTCCGCAGAGCAGAAATCGGGGTTTAGTGCAACAAATTCACCAACCATCAATGCGTCAATTCTTGGCAGATTTGTGCTTTCTGGTTTCACAAAGCCGGCATCCATAATTTGTTTAGTCAAAAAAAACTAAGTTTACTGTTTTTTTCTTTCCTAAAGTTAAAAGTGTTATAAGATAAATTTAGTCAGACGAAATAATCCACCTACAGTAACACGCGAATGACATTTAGTTGTTTACCACAAGAGACGTCAAAATCATGGCGAAAGTGGCGAACAGCGTTTTTAGTGTTTAAAAAATATAGACTAAAAAATATTTTTTAAAATTAAATTTCTACAGCAATCTTCTGCTTTTATGAAGTGAAATCGATATTTTAAGGTTCCTTAGACTAAACACTTTAAGAAATAAACATTTATTTAATACAATTCGACATGAGTAAACTAGCCTATTCCATACACAGGTACCCACAGTAACATCAACAGTACCTACGCTTTTAACCCATGAATCGTAAAAGGTAGACTGCTGAATATTTTACTGAGACAGGTAGTAAAAATTATAAGAGAACAACTTTTCTATGATTTCTTGTGAAATCTTTTTCAGCCCTTCGTGTGGGAGTTAAACTCGCATATTATCTTTCATAGCACATTGCATTTCGTCGTTAACCCGAATTCGGGTGAACGAAAGACATTACTCTATTACTATTATCGCGACATTTTTTGTTAAACACCAATTAGCCTAGCCCCAAAGTAAGCACTATAAGGCTTGTGTTATGGGATACTAGGGTAACGGATAGAATACATATACTGTTCATATATAAGTATATTTATATAGAATTACATATTAAACATCCATGACTGGAGTACAAATGCTCGTATTCATCACACAAACATCTGCCCCCACCGGGATTCGCACCCGGGATCTCTCGAGTCGGCGACACCATGAAACCCGGCGTTCAGACCACTCGGCCACGGAGGTCGTCAATTAGTCGCATTAGTCGTTTACTTAAATTCCATTGGCACTCGTATTCGGGCTAACGACCATGTGTAACCGCGCCTTCATTCTGATGACTTCATAGCAAATATTTTACATAAATTAACTTATTAATAAAAACACATCTGTAATTCGTATTTACTTAAAATATATTAATTTTACAATGTTAATTACATTAATATTTATTAAATTGTACAATTTTTCTACTATATATGTAGCACTTGAGGTTGGAGCTTCAATTTGTCTATGGTTTCTTGAGGCATACAGTAAGTTGGATTCACTGATTTGATACTCGTGTCGCCTAACAGAGACAGGCCCGCTAAACCAAATAGCGTGTGGAATGGGTCAGGTATATCGCCCGGCCGGTCGCTGAAACCGCCCGTTTCAGAGTCTTGGCAAGCCAGAATGAATTGCTCTAGACTTTTTTTGTCTACCCAGTGGATTCTGTTCAACATTGACAGTGAGGACATCACCCACCTGTGGAATAAAGAAATACTTATAAATATGCTACTCAGTACGATTTAACATTTTAACATGGTGTTTCAAGCAGGGTAGGCACATATCAACTGACACACATAACTTATAAAAACAAGTAGACTGCAATCGCCTTACGAAAAAAACATCATAAAACGCCGGAGCGGCGCTGTGCTGTTGTTGTAGCTATTAAAATGTAATTAAGTAGCAAAACTATAGGAAACACCAATATAGTTACGTAATTTTGTTAGTTTTGAAGGGACATTTACGGCAACGGCAGGATGAAAAGAGGTGCTCATAACGCCGTCTCTTTCCACCCAGCCGTTGGCGTCGGAGAGCTCTCTGCTGCCTCCTCCTGGAGGATGAAAGCCATCCAGAAGGAGATTACCGCAGTCCAGGATCTGGGCAGGGAGAGATTCCGAATGCGCGAAAGACGGCGCGAAATGTATGTAAACAAACATGTCAAAACGTGTTACAACCTGATTAATTCGTCTCAATTATAGAGGTAAACATCGAAAGAGTCTTAGAATTCAAATCTCATTTAACTAGGTTCAAAAAGTCCCATTAACAGAGGTAATTTAATGAAAAAGAACCGGGACCTCATTGTAACTCTCAATAATAGAGGTTTCTCACTTATCCAGGTTTCACTGTATATCATTCTTGTTATATAACTCTTTTTTATTACGCTCAATAGGTTATTTGACAGTATGAAAAATAAAGTACCAATTGTTTTAAATATTAGCAGCGATTTTACTATTCTGAGAGAACAAATAATTAATGAATTTTCTGAAATGTCATTAAATAGAATTGATTGTTTTGCGCTATGGTCATATGACCGACGACGCCTGGGATTGGCGAAGAATAAAATGACGTCATAATGATAGTAAACTTCCGGTCAAAGTGACATTAAATTGTATCGTTTGACGTTTCAATGACAGTCGCGTGACGTCACAATATCCAAAGAAACTTTTTTGACACATTTGAAAATGGAATTGTTGGTGTCGTTTTTTTTACTGAAATACACAACAGAATGATGAATATCTTTTAATGGACTTTATAAACATTAGTAAATAACGCGAGGTCGTTTTTTAAAACTTGACAAAGACAAATACCCTATTGTCTTATTATTAACGAGTTAGACAGTTTGGCGCGATAGAAAACGTGGTTTAATGTAAATCGGGACTAATCGGGGACTGGTGTCATTTGCACACTTTCTAACCGAACACTTTGTCATTGCGCGGTCGAAACAAGACTGTTTGAAAATTTACGCACAATAGACGCGTGTGCGTAACTTTGATTTCGACACATTTTGAGCGCGATTGTGAGTCTACTTGCTTTTATACGTCAATGCTGACATATCTCCATTTTATAAAAAAACCCAAAGGCACCACCATACTGATTTGTGATACTGATCTGATATAATTATGTTTTTACTTTTAAGTGAAAAAAAGTAATGATGGTTAAAATTTCACCAGAAAAAGAATTGTTTGGGCTTTTGATTTAGGGCACCAGCCAGCACTAATAATAGAATATATTTTAATAACCCGCATTGACATATTTACAGATACAAATTAAAAAATCTCGGTTAACCAGGACCCTGCCTCAGTATTAGGTGATGCGACATTGTGTCGCACCAGCGCTGTTATTCTGGCAGAGCCTGTCTAGTGAAACAAAAAAAGAAAAAGATTTTTTTTTTTTACCATGAATAGCATAAGTCAGGCAGTTTTTCCGGTCGTCCATTGAGTCCACCACTAGGCAGCTGTCTCTCGCATAGCCACCATGCGAGTTCATCGGCTCGCAGCGCATCCATGCGGTTGCATATCGAAAGTGTGCCAACGCAACAGTAAATAAGCCCTGAAAATTAATATCCTTTTCTTTTTATTAAAAAAATTATGAAGGCTTCAGCAACACGGAGTAGTTATGCCAGATTGCAGCATTTTCAGGACCCCTGGACTTATCTTTCTTGTAGAGATGGACCAATTATAGTATTTGTAGACTAATCGATTTTTTAATTGCCCCCATTTATGTAAGTATAAGACTATAGAGTGCCAGCAATAGGGTTCTGGTATTTCCCTTTGGGTATGGAACCAAAAAATAAAAAAATATTTTTATGCTTTGACAACCCTGTCGAAAGTTAAAATTTACCTTCTACAAAAAGTAATAACATTCACTATGTATTATATTTCAACCAGAAAAAGACTGTTTTACCATTATGCACAGAAATACATACCGGCATGACTCTCAGAGCCTGGTTTAGATCCAAACCCACTGTCAAAATTCATGCAACTCAGCACAAAGTCGACAGTTTTGTTTATATTGATGGCATCCAGTCTGTGCAATAATGAAAGGGCCATCACAGCGCAGAATGAAAACCTTGTATCTACTTCACCCCACATATCACCTGTAAATGAGATTTTTACTATTTAATCATTCAATAGGATTAAATAACAGTTTTTACAAGCCTATATAATTTATTTAAAACATTTAACTGCTAGATGTTTAAATCTACAGCAGAGAGTGCAGGTTCGAGTCCCATCTACTGCCTGGACGATGTGGAAGTTTTGTAAAGTATAATTTTCTTTAGGTTTAAGTCTATATAAGCTTTGTCATTGCATCCACATCAATATTGTGCATTTTTTTAAATAATATAATAATAATCTTTATTTCTTCTTCCACAATCTAGAATCACATGACAACTTATCATAATATAATTTTATGTAAGAACAGAAAAAAATATTGTTAAAAGACAGGTGCCTGAACTAGGCGGAACGCCTGTATCTCAGAGCACCAGGACTCTCCCTCCCCTGGAGAATGCACAGTGAGCAAATTATAAGGTCATTGATCTTACATAATACCTACAAAAATTAAAAATAAAATTTTAGTATAGGATGTCCCATATGCTGTATTATTTTGTTAATGATCTAGAAATCCGTGACAAATGGAGAGATCGAGAAACGTCAGAGTGACAGCAAAAGGGTTTTATTTTTACCCTTTGGGTAACTGAACCTTAAAAATTGATTAACTTAATATATACTGCATACATTTATAATAGTGTAATATGTATTGTAGGTATTATATCTCAGAAATATACAAGACATTTACCAAAGAAGCTTCCATCTTCCTGTTGTAATGATAATATGTATCTAACTACACCATCCACATCAATGGCATCCAGCCTGTCATACATAGCAAGCACCTGCAATAAAAAGGGTAATAATGTTAATTACTGTTGATTAGTACGGTTCCAAGGGCTCAGGGATGGGGATAGGTTAGGTTAGACAGACCTTATGTTGGGTTTAGCAATCTTTACACATAACTGGGGGCCAATCACCTAACGGGATTGCAATGGCTATCTCAATTCTCTTCTTCAATTCTCAACAATTTCATTTAGTTATTTCTGACTGCCTATAGTTTTTAAATGCCTCTATTTTTTTTTGCATTGGTAATAACAATATTTAAAAAAGTGAGTGTGTGGTATTTGAAAACCTAAGGCAGTCAAAAATAACAGAATAAAATGGTAAGCGATAGCCAAAGCAATCCTGTAAGGCGATTGGCCCCCTGGTAGGCAACTAAGTGTGTAACAAAGAGGGATCTAATACTCAAAAAGGTCATGTTTGGGTAATGTTAGGAGATAGCAGTTGTTGCAGCATGAGAAACATCAGTTAGTAATTTGGTGCAGCCTTTTTGGGACAACTTATTATGCCTTACTACAAAAAGTATGCTAAAGTTAAGCCTAGACTAAAACTAGTGCTGTCCCTTTTGTTTGCTAAAAAGAGGGACAGACAACATTAAGTTTAAACCAAGACTAACTTAAGTCCGGGTTTTAGATTGAGGGGGATTATTTTTAAAAAGTGTTTGGTACTTAATTCTATTAGCTGTGGTTGAATTTCGAGGTAGTTTTGATGTGGGGGTGATGGTCTCTCTCAAGCGTATGTACGTCACGTACACGAAATCTCGGTATTTCTAATAATTAATACTATGAGTTACAAAAATTTCAGCTCGCTACTCAACCACAGCTAATAGAAAGCTGAGCCCAATGTTCTTCTAGGCCATAACATACCTGAACAGCACTTAATGTGTACAGCATGTGGGGATCATGGCCAATACTGGCTGATATTCCTCCACTCTCCTTATCTTGACATGATGTGATAAATTCTATTATTTCTTCCTTAGGCATTCTAGAAAAGGAACCAATGAAAGTCAGATATTTAAAAAAAAGAGCAGAAAAACAATGTATGAATCTGGACTACAAAACAATAAACGAAGTTTTAGTTTTACGCACCTCGAGGATTGATCCATTAGTTCCATAGCAGTAAGACTCCAATAAATTCCAGACATCCGAAGATATTCAGTCATACAAAACTCGTAATCATCTTTGTTTTGTCCGTAAGTAGCCAAGTAATCAGAGTGTTTTTGTAACAGAAGTGTTTTAGGTCTATCCTCTTTGAGGATTACGTCCTTTACATTAAATGACATCTCTTATGAATATTTCTAATGAATTTTAACAATAAATCTTATAATATATCAACAATTTGCGAACTTTTTATGCATTTTTAATGTAATTTCTATGCACTGTACGTGCCACTGACAGTGACAGCGACACATAGTATTTTTAAGATTCTCCCTTTTGAAGGAAGACAGAGGGAACAATGCCCATACAGCCTAGTCTTAAGTTTTATTAATTCTTTTTTTTTACATTAGAATGTCGGTGTGAAGCATTCTTATGTTTCTTGGAGAGTTTGGCATGAAATGTATCGAGTTGGCGTTTTCAATAAGCTTCTGTGGGGTAGTCAGCACTACAATTAAGTTCTCACGACCACGTGACCGGAATAGCGTATATTTTAAAGATATCATTAATTCTTCAGTTGCGCAGACGGTTGTAACACAAAATCACGTACTTTACTTGATTTTATCACGAAAAAACGATAAAATAATATGAAAATTTTACAATATGCAGAGGATTTTTGTTATATACTAACCACTTATCAATAGATGAAGCTGTGGTAGATTGAAATAATTTTTTAAATTATTTAAAACATTCAAAAAATTAAAAAATTCAATATCGTTTATTCAGTCTAGGCTGTTATAAGCACTTGTGAATGTCGAAAAGCTACGCCATCGATTCGCAAATCTACGGCGGTAGACCTTGTACTGAGAAAAACCGGCAAGAAACTCAGCAAGGGCTTCAAAAAGTATTTAGGATAGACACTTGACTGTTTTATTCGTACATTTTATGTGTGTCTCTTGATCAATTGTACATCGAAAAACAGAAGAGGGTTTTTCTTGAGCCGATTAAAACACTGTGCGCCGCACCAGCCGGCCTGTTAGCTAACTCTTTTGACATTTACAGTAAAGTAAAGAGAAAATTATATAAACTATAAACATATCCATCGATGCTATTCAAATGAAGTGTCTTAGTGACGTTATAATAAAGCAGTAGTGGATCACTTTAAGGCTCGGTGATTATCGGTTCCATCTGTCAAAAGCAGTAGTAAGTGAATAGGCCAACAGACCGGAAGACAGGATTTTTTTTAGTAATAAATTTGCAACTCAGTGGCGCACAATGCCAAATGCAATTGGAACGTGAATTAGTTTTCAAATGCACCAGCAGAGTGAGTATTTTTTAACACAGATTGAATTGACTTTGATTATTTAAAAAAATACAGTGAAACGAAGGCTTTAAATAAATTTCAATAATAAATAATATTACTAATGATAATATATAAATAAAACATTTCGATCAATGCCAACTTAAAAAAAAACACTTGTTAATTTTCTGTCACTGAGTTGGTACGATTGCACGCATCACACGAAAAAATTACTTTTGAGAGTGCTCGATTGTGCGAAGCGTAGCTGTAGTTGAAACATTCAACGTTAAGCATTAAGCCGCATAATGCGCTCTAGTGCTGTAATTGGAAAACTACATACATTACCAAGGTAAGCTAAAAGGTATTACTTTGATATTGTGGACTATCTGCTCAGTGATCGTCAATAAATGGTTCTTGCCGGGTACGCTCTACTAAGTACTACGTACTTGTTTATGTGATGCACTGCTAGGATGAGGCCATCGAGAAACACGGCGAAGCACTTGCTGTTTCCTCCTTTTTCCTTTGATCCGGCACGCAGGTCTACTAAGCAAACTCCCAGTGTACGGCATCCCTGCTGGTCATGGTCATTGATGGCTGTTGCACTGAACTTATGGCTATTTACGCCAGCGTTCCTCAGGAGTCTATTCTCTCTGCGACGCTTTTCCTGCTACACATCAATGACCTCTTAATAGCAGGTACTGTTAGGTGGATGAAAGTACTTTTGCGGAGAGATACGTGCGGGAGACATCGGAGAAAAATTGCAACTCATGAGAGAGGCCATGGTAGAACTAAACCTGATGCTGGATTACGTCTCCCAGTGGAGTGAGAGTAATCTCGTCAGCTTTAATGCCTCCAAGATGCAAGTTTGTTCACCGCAAAAAGGACTCCTTCCACCCATGCCTCCTTCTCTACGAGATACGTATGTCTCTATAATCGATAGTCTCGAGCTCCTTGGCAAGAAGTCGTCTAATAACAAATAAATAAACTTCGCCGCAATCATCGAATCCAAGGCGCAGACTGCAGCTAGAAAGCTGGGCGTCCTAAATAGGATGCTGTACTTCACGGGTGCTGTCAAGGGTCAGGACCTTTTACAAAGTTCAGGTTCGATCATGCATGCAGTATTGCAGACACCATTGGGATGGCTCGGCTAAATACCAACTTGCTGCACTGGACACGGTGGAATGCAGAGCCAGGAGAATTATAGACGACAATATAAAATATTATAAGTGGAAGATAAGTTATCAGTTTCACACTTTGGTTGCCTGAATTACCGTCTTTTACAGGGTGTACTTCGGGGAGTGTACTCTGTAGTTACATGAACTCAGTACACCTTCCCCCTTCTACCATCCGAAGTCCAGAAGCATGGCAAGTTACCATCCTTTCTTGGTTGCTGTTCCTCCTCTTCGCACCAAAAGCTTCTCAAATACTTTTATAATGCGTTCAGCGAAGGAATGGAATTACCTGCCTGCGGCTTTATTTCCGAATATATTAATCCAACTCTTTTTAGAGCCAGAATGAATAGGCTCTCTGTGGGTAAGCTCCCTACACCGTAGCTCCCATCTCGGGCCAGATAGAGGATCAAGAGCTTATATATTAGTAGATAAAAAAAATACGTTGTTTTTTTTGTTCACATCAGGTTAGGATTGTATTGTGTCCATGACGCACGAGCCGGGCGAGCATTGGGAGTAGGGTTGTTGCAATTCATTATAAAGTATTGTACGTTATTTCGGGTAATTGTACTCTATACTTTATGCCAACATTAAGTACGCGAAAATACTTTATTTAATGTTATTTGATTACTCGGGAATTATTTTTACAAAAAATATACGAAAAGAGGTTGATAAGAAGAATTTTTGCGTAAATCGGAACGACAGTATGTATAATATGTCGCCCTAAGCTTATTGCTGCAACATTGTCGTGGCTGTATGACTTTGTACAATGGCTTTTCCCATTGCGGATAAGAACTACAGACTTTTGGTAACCATAAATTATATATTAATAAAAAGTACTTTATTTTGTACACAATGTACTTTTTTACTATCTTTAATAACTAGTGTACTTATTTGGACAAAAAAGGTGGCAACCCTTATTGTGAGCATACCGCGGTTGCGGCTAGCGAAGAGTTGGAATTAAATTTATTTTATTAACAGTTAAATTGAGCAATGCCATCGCCATTTTCTAACTAACCACGTTTTCGCAAACTTTCGGGAAAATTCGATTTATCCAATCGTTTTACGATATATACCTAAGTAGGAACAACGTTACATTCGAAACAGGAAAAAGATACCCACTTAGTTGTTTGTATTGATAACGATCATTCTTACAAAGAATATCTTCGAATTTTGCTTTCGTTCGGAATTAATTCAGTTAGCAGTTACTTAGTCAAGTTTTGTTTGTTAGGAAATCAATCGAGTGTGAAATAATCACCATGTTCATAGTATGTTCATGAAAATGAACCTCCTATGTTTGGAGCAAGATAAAAAAAAAGAAAAACCAAAATGGAAGTACAAAAAAACTCTTCTTAAAAAAGCACGAATATCCGCATAAAATTCTCAACCTTTGTGAAAAGCTGAGATCTATTGTTGAGACTGGTCAGGTCACCTTGAAGTTCCGATTTCAATACAATTGAACATAAATCTATAGAAATTATTTACTAGATAAAAATCCACTTGGTCCAGGTTTCGGACATTAAATTTCAAGTCTAAATTGCGGTAGTCTCATACGAACTTCCATCCATTGGTTTAAAGGGTTGGGGGATAAAGTTACAAGTTTTAAATATTTTTGTTGTTGTTTTGTACAAACAGGTATTATCTGACATACCAAAGGAGACGGTTCAAATTTGTATGGAGGGCGGTAGTCAGTCTTCGGCAGACTCCCATTTTTTGTGTGACACGTAGGGCACTTCAATAAATCGATCGTTTGGCAAAAACTAGAATTTATTTTATTCTCATTTATTTAATAACACAGGCCTGTGTGTTTTTTTAATAACATAAGCCATATAATACGAATAATTTAAATTTCAGCATTATTGCTGACTTCTGAAAAAACGCGAACCAACTTCGCTTTTCTGGCACCATATTTGGACTCAGCGACCCCGAAATCATAAAGTTTAGGTAGTCTGGTCTTTAGCGCAGGGTACTTTTTTTGTGGGCCATTGAATTATACGTTATAACACTGCCACACACTTGCCACAGGGTGGCCAGCGTCTTTACAAAAATATTCAATTTTAATGGAAAATTAGTTGAGTTTAAAGCTAAGAAAACTAGGGTTGTCCCTTCCCTTTCTTCAGGGCACAACTAAAAAGCATATTTAGCATACTTGGTATAGAAGTTCGCCCAGACCTTAATCCAAAGGACTACATCGATACGGTGATCAAAACACCTCATCGAACTGTAATCAAAAACTCGGAGTCTTGATCAAGATGCGATGTTAATTGCGTAAATTATTGCTCACACCTCTGGGATGGCTTCGCCATTTACTTACTCGATACTTTGGATACAGGTTACAGCGGCGCGAGATCGGCATCATTGACGATGAGGAGGTGAAGTCATGTGGCGTCATTAAGCGCGTTATATCGTCTATGGGTGTATTCCGAATCAAACACCAGTACGGTGGCCAGTGGTAATGACATCATGATTTCGACGCCATGTTGACAACGCTACTACTACACCAGTGCAATATGGCGTCCAAATCATGACGTCATTACCGCTGGCCAGCGTACTGGATTATATTTCGGAATACACCCTATATCGTCTATACGAGTGTTCTGAGAAGTTATTCTGCCTTATTCTTGCCATCAGAAGACCACGCGCGTTGGCCTACATTGCGCGTGGCCACTATTCCAATGCGAACAGCGAAATTCTTACTTGCATTGATCAAAGGGATTTTTAAGAAAAAACTTATAATGACAATCCAATATTAAATCTAGTCTACTAAACAACTATAAAAAAAACTGTTTCATTAGGATTTAAGGCTATATTTAACTAAAGAAGTTGGATCGTGAATAAATAAATACGATGTCACCAACTCAGATTAAGTCAGTCTCGCCT